TTTAGTTTAGTTTAGTTTAGTTTAGTTTAGTTTAGTTTAGTTTAGTTTAGTTTAGTTTAGTTTAGTTTAGTTTAGTTTAGTTTAGTTTAGTTTAGTTTAGTTTATTTGATTTGTACCGCCCTACTCCCGAAGGACTCAGGGTGGTGAACAGCCAACAATAAAATACATAAATACACAAAATTTAAAAACCCGATAAAATCAAATTAAATTATTTGGCTCAGACAAATTAAAATACCCCAATAATTTAAAAACAGATTAAAATTTACATATTTAAAAAGGGAAGAGATTAGGCCAAGCCCGCTTGATGGAATAAAAAGGTCTTCACAGCACGGCTAAAGAGCTATTACTTTGGGCATCTAGGATGGCATAAAGCTTAATGGCTTTGTCCCTTTGGCTTGCTGGATAGACTCTGACTAAACAGATTTTGGAGCAGGACTTGCCATCTGCAATCTCTTTGCAGACTCATGTGCATTTTGAATTGATTTCTGTTGTGGATGTAGCAGTGTGTTCTTCCTCCCTGCTGTGCTCACTGCCACTGTAAGTGTGTTGTAAAGTCCATGGTGCTGGCCCTTGATGTAAAGCTGTGTTGTGACCTGTGGTGCCACATTCCATGCATTTTACACTGATGCTACAGTCATTGGCAAAGTGAGGAACAGATGAGCAGCACTTGTAGCAAATGTTGTTTGCTTTCAGGAAAGCTTTGCAATCTTCAATGGACTTCTCCTTGAAGGCTCTGCATTTTAGGAGAGGATGTGGCTTCTGGTGTAGAGGACACTGCTTACCAGGATCTCTGATCTGGGTTTCTATGTGAAGAGCTGGCAGACCTGTGAAGGGAATCTGGAGGATTTGAGACCTTGTCTTGTATGAAGATAGCTGGCTCTGTGACATGGTGTCTTCTGGAGGTGCTTGACTGTCTAGAGACTGCTGTATGGCTGTATGCAGATAGCTGCATAGGCTATAATGACTATACAGTCATTATCCAGGATCCCACTTGCTGGGTAGCTGCTGTTTCACTGTTCTGTCCTCACTACATGTTAGTCTGTATGCAGCTCGACCTGCAGCTAAACCCACCTATCCTCCAATAAAAAAGACTATGTGCACAGATCTGGATGCTTTATTGAAAGAACAGGATATGGTGAAACTGGGGAAAATAGGAATACATACAATGAGAACCAAATACAAGATAGGCAGTATTGAGTTACTGCTGAACATAACAATTAATAAACACAAGTAATCTAAATCTCACCAGCGATGCTCTGTGTGTGGGGTGTGGGTTTGCCCTCAGATGACACAGATTAAGATGGATTCTTCTTCGTACTTCTGCCCCCTCCAAATTCTAAAGAAAAATTTCTAGCTTCCCAATGTTTTTACTGCCGGTTCTGTGTGCATGGCTTGGTGGGTGTGGCAGGGGAAGGATACTGCAAAATCCCTATTCCCTCCACACTCCAGGGAAAGGATACGGAAAAATCCCCATTCCCACCCCACTCTAGGGAAAGGATACTGCAAAATCCCCATTCCCCTCCCACTCCATGGGAAGTATACTGCAAAATCTCCATAACCTCCCCACTCCAGGGGAAGGATACTGCAAAATTCCCATTCCCTCGCCACTCCAGGGGAAGGATATTGCAAAATCTCTATCTTCTACACTGATCAAGAGAATTGGAAGTCAATGCCTTTTTTCTTTTTCCCTTTTTTTACTGCACACTTTCCTTTTTTTCCCCTTTTCCATTCTTCCAGTTACCATTATTTTCATTTTCCCTTGTATATTATAGTCTAACAAGCTAATATAAATTGAATATAAGAAAAAGAAAGGGGTGTATGGGGACCTCCCTCCTTCCTTCCCTCTCTTCCTTTCTTTTTTATGGCCAGCACTGCAAGAACCACACTGCAGCTTTCCCCATCAGGATTTTGGGTGTGATTAATATTCACAACAGCTTCTTACACAATGGGGATGGAGAGGGAAGGACCTGATCATGCTGAATTAGCTTTAAAGATGAACAGATTCACTTACTTGATGAACCTGACAGTTTGTGAGCACCAGCATCTGCAAATGAAGATGGACTGAATTAGTGAAATACAAATACCTAAAAATAGGTAAATTCAGAGCATTTTTTAAAAATAGGTAAATACATGAGTTATAGAGTTAAACAGCAACTATGTCTGTCTACATTTACAATGTATATTAGATTTCTTATCTAACATACATTGACTGGAAGTGTCGGTTGACTGGAAGCATCACGGCAAGACAGTCTGGGAATTAGCGGGCTCTGATGAGCTGCAAAAACCCAGACTGACAAACCGCAGCCAAGGGGTCTTCGGACTGGAACCGTCCTGTAGGGCACCTCAGAAGACCAAGAGGAACAGGTAAGTTCCGAAGGTCAGAGGAAACTCTCTACGACTCGGCAGCCATTGCGGTTGTCACGAAGCTGGGGCAACTGGATTAAGCATTAAGCAGGAGCGGTGAACAGAATGGAGTTTTGTGAAGCTGGGTGAGTGAAAGCCAACTCACAGGTGAAACAACAATAAGAAAAAAGTCTTTAAACCTGAAGACCCCTAGCGAAAAACCAGTAGCTAATGAACATGGGGGGAAGAAAACAGGACGTTGAAGCGTAATTTTAAAGGGACAAAAAATCCAAATAGAAAATTGACTTTTGAACAAAAGTATTTGAAAAATAATTTGGAAAATTTTAAAAACTAGAGAAATCACCCCAAGATTGATTAAAGGATCAGAAAGAAAGAAATAGATCCTTTTTTCCCCTTTCTTTTTCGAATTTTAAGAAAAACAAAAGAGAACGGACAATAAGCCCTGTAATAGAAGTGTTGTATAAACAAAAGAAAAATGGAAAAAAGAAGTGAAAAGGGTTGTTTAAATTCGGACTGGACTATAAAACTGATTTGGTATTTTTAAAGCTAAAAAGAAAAAGAGAAGCTAGTTAAGATTGTTAATGTAGATTGAAACAAAATGGATACTTGTTAGATAACCGGAAATTGTGGATTGCAGAGAGACACCTTCAGGAGCAAAAAGGAACATTGCAACTTGATCTTTGTTTTGGAAAATTGTGAACTTTACAGATAACAGCCGTGAGAACTTTTGGGGAGGATTCCTTTGTCTGCAAGCGGCTTGACTTTGGGGGGGGGAAAAGGAATACAATTGAACTTTTAAAATTGGAATAATACTAATTCAAAAAGAATAAAATGGTGCAGGAAATTAGAGAAATGATTAAATAGATGTACTTGTCTTGGAAAATGGAAATAAGAGAAATAACTACAATGCTGCATGGGGAATTAAAATCTGAGGACATAAAAATTGAGAGACAGCATACGCAAGCTGACAAAGAAATAAAGTCGGAGAAGCAAGACACAGAGGCTGAAAATAAAGAAGATAAAGACAATGCGATTAAATATGAAAAAGTAACTGAACATGTGGATAGTAATAATAAAAAGGAGGTTTTTAGAGATTACATTGGGATTAACAATGAAAAAAATAGAAAGGATGGAAAGAGACAAATAAGGAAAGAAGGGTGGAACAGAAAGAATATAAAGAACTTAAATGATTATACTGGGATTTACAGTGAAAAGATAAAAAAGAGAGGAAAAGGGTGGAAAACAACAGAAAATATAGGGCAAAATAGAAGAATCCAGGACTTTGAAATACAGAATGATAATACTGGGATAAACAGTGGGCTAAACAGTGGTGAAATAAAAAAAAAAGAAAAGAGAGGGGGAACAATGAGAAATATAGGGCAAAACAGGAGAGATCAGGATTTTAAAGCACAGGAAAAAAGGGGAAAGAAAAGGTAAAAATAAAAATGAAAAGGGAGAAAAGGAGAAAGAAATGAAAGAGGAATATGATGCATATATCTAGAACTGAAATACGAATTGTAGTAAGAAATAATGGTAAATCATATGATGGTGAAAATGAACTGAATAATAATTGGAATATTATCATTTGTATTTTTGAAATCTAGATAATGATGAGGTTTTTTTTAGAAATATGAATAAGTTTAAATTGTAATAATTGAAATACTTTTAATGGTTTATGGTGGTGTGTGTAGAAATGATTAAGTGATGATTTTGAATAATACATGGGGAAAGCTATATGATTAGAGGATAACAGCTAGAATTAACTAAGGAAATTGTAATAAATGAAATATTTTTAATTGCATATCGTGGTGAAAGTAGAAATGATTAAGATGTGATTTAGAGGAACATATGGGGAAAATTATTTGATGTATGAAAATGGAACTAATTGGAATATCCACATTTATATTCTTTTTTTTCTTGTTTGAATATATAAATGAAAAAGATATTTACATAATTAATTGATTTATATTAAAATGTTGGACTGTATTTAAGGAAATTTATGTTATAAAATAAGTGGGTTTACTATTCCTATAAGAATTGAACAACTGTAACACCACAAAATTAATGAATCTGATGATGGATACAAAAACAGATGACAATGAGAAGGGGTTTAATATAGAATAGAAGGGAAAAAATGGAATTTAGTTAAAATTAGAGATGAAAATGAAGGGTAATATTGGTAAAAAATAGATGAAAATAAATACTACAGCAAAAAGGAGGTATAGAAATTGTAATTTTAGTTCAAAGGACTAAAAACTGTTTAAATTTGTTAACCGGCCAAATACTCTGTTCAGCAAAAATACATTGTATGTTTGTGTGTGTGTGTTTGTGTATGTGTAAAAAATTAAAAAAAAACTTTTTATAAAAAATTTTTTTCATTTTCCCTTGTATGTTATATTCTGACAAGCTAATATAAATTGAATATAAGAAAAAGAAAGGGGTGTATGGGGACCTCCCTCCTTCCTTCCCTCTCTTCCTTTCTTTTTTATGGCCAGCACTGCAAGAACCACTCTGCAGCTTTCCCCATCAGGATTTTGGGTGTGATTAATATTCACAACAGCTTCTTACATAATGGGGATGGAGAGGGAAGGACTGATCATGCTGAATTAGCTTTAAAGATGAACAGATTCACTTACTTGATGAACCTGACAGTTTGTGAGCACCAGCATCTGCAAATGAAGATGGACTGAATTAGTGAAATACAAATACCTAAAAATAGGTAAATTCAGAGCATTTTTTAAAAATAGGTAAATACATGAGTTATAGAGTTAAACAGCAACTATGTCTGTCTACATTTACAATGTATATAAGATTTCTTATCTAACATATATTGATTGGAAGTGTCGGTTGACTGGAAGCATCACGGCAAGACAGTCTGGGAATTAGCGGGCTCTGATGAGCTGCAAAAACCCAGACTGACAAACCGCAGCCAAGGGGTCTTCGGACCGGAACCGTCCTGTAGGGCACCTCAGAAGACCAAGAGGAACAGGTAAGTTCCAAAGGTCAGAGGAAACTCTCTACGACTCGGCAGCCATTGCGGTTGTCACGAAGCTGGGGCAACTGGATTAAGCATTAAGCAGGAGAGCATTAAGAGAGACATCTTCAGGAGCAAAAAGGAACATTACAACTTGATCTTTGTTTTGGAAAATTGTGAACTTTACAGATAACAGCCGTGAGAACTTTTGGGGAGGATTCCTTTGTCTGCAAGCGGCTTGACATTGGGGGGGGGGGAAAGGAATACAATTGAACTTTTAAAATTGGAATAATACTAATTCAAAAAGAATAAAATGGTGCAGGAAATTAGAGAAATGATTAAATCGATGTACTTGTCTTGGAAAATGGAAATAAGAGATATAACTACAATGCTGCATGGGGAATTAAAATCTGAGGACATAAAAATTGAGATAGAGCATACGCAAGCTGACAAGGAAATAAAGTCGGAGAAGCAAGACACAGAGGCTGAAAATAAAGAAGATAAAGACAATGCGATTAAATATGAAAAAGTAACTGAACATGTGGATAGTAATAATAAAAAGGAGGTTTTTAGAGATTACATTGGGATTAACAATGAAAAAAATAGAAAGGATGGAAAGAGACAAATAAGGAAAGAAGGGTGGAACAGAAAGAATATAAAGAACTTAAATGATTATACTGGGATTTACAGTGAAAAGATAAAAAAGAGAGGAAAAGGGTGGAAAACAACAGAAAATATAGGACAAAATAGAAGAATCCAGGACTTTGAAATACAGAATGATGAGGTTTCCGGTTACGTCATCGTGTCAAGTAAGACGGGTATGGAGATCACTCCTGTCCCCTTCTTGTAAACTTTCCAGTCTGGGTGGCTTTTCTTTGCCGGCGGCGGCCCCGGAGAGGTGGCCGTAAGCGGAGAGGAGCAGAGAGCGCGTGTGGAGTGGCAACCCAATGCGCGAAGGCGAATCTCTCCTGTTACAGGCTGGGAAGACGGCACCAGTAATGGCGGCCCCAAAGCGATGACTACCTATATTGGAAGGGAAACCTGATCGCAGATGGGCAAGGAGCCCTTTTCTAATTATAATTAGTCTACATTGTGACGGACCTTTGATCCTTTTGATCTCCCTATTGTGAGTGTTGTGGTGGTGGAGGAATGTTCTGAGTGCCCTTTTACGATTGGAGCTAAGACGGGGAAAGCGGCTGCTAGTTTATCACACCATGAACTTCGAGCCGTTATTGAATTGTGCTGACTGAAAGAAATATTGGGTTTGTATTCAATTGGTGGGAAGTATTGCTGGATGGTTTATCTCCTCCCTCCCCACTGATAAATTAAGAATTAAATTAAGAACGGTGGTCGAACGGACAGATATACCCCTTGGTAGAGAAATACTCTTCTTCCTTCTTTTCTATCATTAGAAGGTGTGTGTGTGGAACAGTACTTTACCCCCCTCTAGTGGCGAACTGTAGAATTACACTATATACTGTGCTCTTAGGAGAGAAGAAATTTGAATCTGTTTTGTACTTGATTGTATGTTTTTGAATGAATTACCCCCATTGATTATTATCTTTATTGACTAGACTTGACCTGAAGGACTTGGAATACAATATATTTGTTCAATTGACTAACTTAAAAGCTGATTAAGATATTTTGAAAGTGATTGGGAATACCCCTATAAACAAGATGTCAAGCGCAACAATTGTAACAACCACAAAATCGGGGGAAAAAGTTTTGACACTCCCAACGGTTGCTACCCCAGCCACACCTACATCATCATCTTCATCATCATCTAAATCTTTGGAGGACTTAGCTGCTGCAGGGAAACCTCCATCGTTATTAAGTCTACAAAATATGCTGCAGGCAATGTATGAGGTGATGACCAAAAATCAAGAAGATATCTCCAAAAATTTAGAGGACTTAACATCAGACCTTAAAGGGGAGCTGGAAGCTGTTAGAAATGATATCAAAATGTTGAACGAGAGGCTGGAAGGTGTTCAGGGGCTATTGACACAACAGGAGAGTAAAGTTCAAAACGTAGAGAAGAGAGTGGGACGATGTGAGGAGAGACTGAATGGAAATGAAAGAGAGCAGCTCTTGGTGAATAGAGCCCTTGAAGAAGAAATTATATTTCTTGAAATGGAAAAGTCAGCCTTCTACTTGAGGATACAAAATGTGGTGGAAGAACGGGGGGGGGGCTTTAAGAGATATTGTGGTGGATATTTTGGCTGGGATTCTGGAGATAACTAAGATATAGATGACGTTTTTTGTATATTTACAAGTTACACCAGGAGGCAGAGACTTCCGACAGAGGTTCATGTTAGACTATCAAAAAAAGCTCTTAGGGAAGAAGTGATTCTGAAGTCCAGAGACAAAACGGTGACATATAAGGACAAACAATTGATAATACTGAAGCAACTCCCCAGACGGGTACAGGAAATACGACGAAACTATCATTTCTTAACCACTCAATTAAGAAAACACAAAGTATTATACAGGTGGTTATTACCGGAAGGGTTACAATTTACTTGGGCTGACAAAAAAGTGAGAATTGACAACCTTAGAGATGCCAGATACTTTTTTATAAGACATTTGAACCCTTTAGAAGCGGATGTGGGAGAAGAGCCAGAGGGGAAGAGTGGGGAAGAATTATTAGAGGAGGAAGAGAGAGGGGAACCAGAACAGGTAGGTGGGAGAAAGAAAGGAAGAGGACAGACGCAGATACAGGCAGAAATAGGAGCCGAGGGACTAAATCAGAGAGAAACAAGACAAACAAAAAAGAAACTCCAAGCAGAAGGCAAGTAAGGGCAACAGAAGAGAGAAGGGATGGGGGAGGAAATTCGATTATTGTCAGTTAACATCAATGGGCTGAATAGCCCGAATAAGAGAAAAAAGATATTTAATAAATTAATAAAAGCACGTTTGAATAGTATATGCCTTCAAGAAGTACATGTGAAAAGAGATCATCTTTACTTACTGAATTATACCAAATTGGGTCAATTATATACATCTCTAGCGGAAACTAAAAAAAGAGGAGTAGCAATTTATGTTCAAAAGCATATAAACTCGAAATTAATTTTTGCAGATGAAGATGGGAGACTTTTGATGATCAAAGTAGAAATTTGTGGTAAAAAATGTATATTGGTTTGTATTTATGCACCTAATTGGAATCAAAAAGTTTTTTTTTCAGAATCTTTATAGTAAATTGGTAGAATTTGATTACTCACATATTTGTGTAGTGGGGGACTTCAACGCCATAGATGATAAGGATAAAGATTATATATCCGGAAATAAGAATCAGGAGGGAAAAAAGAGATCAGCAAAGAAAAGATTGCCTACTATCTGCCATCAAATACAAGAGGAATTTGGACTTAGAGACATTTGGAGGGAAAAACATCCAGAAGATAGACAGTACACATATTTCTCCGCCAGGCGCTCATCTTGGTCGCGGATAGATGCGGTTTGGATGTCGGGGGAACTGAGGCAGGGAACACAGAAAGTAGAAATAGGTATCAATGAGTGGGCAGACCATAATCCATTATGGATAACATGGGGAGGTTGAAAACAAGCCCCAGGTGGAGAATGGATGTAAGGATCCTCAAAAATGAACAATTCTTAAGTTATTTAAAGAAGGAGATGGGTTTTTTCTTTCAAGAAAATAATAAGGAAGATGCGAACTTTTTAAATGTCTGGGAAACAGCTAAAGCAGTGTTTCGGGGTTTAGTGATAAACTATATAGCAGGGAAACGGAAGAAGGAGAGGGCTAAACGAGATAAATTATTAGAAGACTTGACCAAAAGTGAGGCTATGTTGCAACAGGACCCAAACAATAGAGAACTCAATATGAATTTGAAATTAGTACAACATCAAATTAATTCATTAAACCAAGAGGACTTAGGAAAACAAATTAGGTGGATGAAACAACGACAATTTGAAAATGCAAATAAACAGGGAAGATGGCTTACATACCAATTAAAAAAAGAAAAGGAAAGGAGTAGAATTCATAATTTGAGAGATAGGAATGGTGAATGGATTACAGGGGAAGAAGGGAAGAAAAGAATAGCGCAGGAATTTTATACCAATCTATATAGAAAAGAGGACAAGTCTGAGCAGGAAATAAGGAAATATCTAGAAGAATCTGATCTACCCAAAATATCGGACATGCCTAGGGAAATACTGGACAGGGAGATAACCGAAGGGGAAATTGAAAGGGTTATAGGAAAACAAAAAACAGGAAAGACTCCCGGTACAGATGGCCTCCCAATAGAATATTATAAGGCACTTTGGGAAGTTTTAAGCCTTTATATGACAGAACTATTTAATGGGGTAATCCAGGAGGGACAGATTCTGAATTCCTGGTCAGAAGCATTAATAACCCTCTTGCCGAAGGAAAGCAGTGACTTATCCCTGATCCAGAATTATAGACCTATTTCACTTCTTAATGCAGATTATAAATTATTTGTGGCAGTGCTAGCAGAAAGGCTAAAAGGTTTCCTAAGTCAATTTATACATGAAGATCAAAACAGTTTCCTACCTTGTAGGCAGATTAGAGGTAACGTGAGAATAATTATGAACGTCTTGGAACATTATGAAACCCATATTGATAAACAATTGGCTTTGGTCTTTGTGGATGCGCAAAAGGCCTTTGATCGAGTGAGTTGGAGTATTTTAGTGGGTTTATTACAACATATGCAATTTGGGGAA